CTTCCGATACTTATTGTGACCAACTGTCACAGAAATGTGTTTTATGACATTGCATTCACATGAATTTCAGTAGATAAAAGTAAAACAGGAGCAGTGTTGCTATGCTGTGTGGCCTGCTAGGGCTCAGCTTTGGTCCCTGCCGTCAGGGTTTCCAGTGTCCATGAGCTGCTGGAGGACACGGGCACATTTCTCACCAATGTAGTTTTGGCAGGCGGGCTGTGGTGTGGTTTGGCCAGGCCTTGTTGTGTTCAGCCAAATATGTGAAATGCAAAAGTCAAAGAATTTATGAAGACTTTGGGACATGTAACACAATGCTTTTGTGCTTATGGTTTCTGGGTTTAGATGATGTGAGTTTACCAAATATGATTTGTAACTGTACTCTTTAAAGTAAGTAAATGATAAAAGTCACATTCGCGGGCATCGTGATGTACAGAGCTGCATACTGCTTTCAGTGACACAGAGATACTCTGCTACGAGGATGTCCCACTAATTGTTAAAAACTTTGGTGTCACACTCTGCTTCTCCTGATGATACAAAACTCTGAGCTTTCATAGAAACTCATTGTTTTTGATAAACAAATGTGGCTGGTAACGGAACTGAGGAAACCTTTTAAACAATGTCATCATTGGGTCTTCATTGGTCATCATAACCTGCTATCGCTGAGTAACGGGAGTACTCTGTACACACCAAACGCTCTTAAGCAAACTGGAATGGTAAATAAAATCTGTGAACAATGGACTTGGTGCAATAGCCATAGCAGTCTCTAACATCAGTAAAATGCTGGTAGGGAAGATAATTAAACCCCCACAGTTACAAGAAGGTAAAACGGAGGTGTTATTTTGTCTTGTAGCTCAAGAGGCACCAGCCCTGCTGCGGCACCTTACGGATCAGACAGTGAACACCAGTAACTCTGCCATGTTGGAGTGCCAGGTTCATGGCATCCCTGAGCCCCAGATATCCTGGTTTAAAAACCATGAGAAAATACAGCAAGAATCAGGTGAGAGCTCTGTGTACTTGCTTACCTTCCACAGCCTTTTTATTTACCCGTCTGCCTTAGCCATTTGCAGAGTCATTGGCATTGGTACGAGACGTAAGGGAGGAGGATTGCCTGGGTGTCACAGGCAGGCAGCAGCACGGGTGCTCCGGGTTATTATGTCTCACTACAAAACCTTGGCCAGGCTGGAGGTGGAGGCACAACAGGCCTCTATGGAGTCAGTGGGGAATATATAGCTCTCAATTTGCATCTTAAAAGAGTCATCTCCAGAAAAAAATATTTCTCTCCATTTACTATAGAGGGAGCCTAAGGATCAGGTGTCTTGTCCAGTGTATAGCTAGGCAGGAGGAAACCAAGCATAGGAGTACCAGGAGTCTGTGGTCAGGCATGCAAAGTCTGTTCTAGGTTCACAGCCTAGCTGCCAGACTAATTCCATATCTGGGGTCTCCAAAACCGAAATGCATCTGCTGGTAGACAGGGGATCCAGGTGTCATGCAGCAGAGAAGAACAGCTTCCCATGCTGCAGCTACAGAAAAACTTCGGGACATATTTACTGCTGTGTCCAGAATGTGGCCTCAAAGACCAACTAAGGCTACATGTCCAGCTCTGATGGCACTACAGTCATGGAAGTGTTCCTTGGAGATTTCAGGTGGAGATGAATAATGAGGGGAAAGGCAAAACCTTTCTCATGGGAATTCATCCACATTTGGATCAGAAGCACACAATGAGCTAGTGTTACAGGCTCAGCAAAAATATTCAAGGAAGTTTGGTCTGCAGGAATTTGAATCCTAAGCATATTCTTCAATAACATCATTTTGGAAAGTTTGTGTTTAAGGTTATGTCCTGTATTATTGGAAATAACTATAGCATGAATACAAGCAACTGGGAAAAATTCTGAAGATTTCTCCAAGTGAGTTATAAACCTGTGTGGACTTGCAGCACAAGCACTAGACTTCATCTAGAGCCATATTCCATGAAGCTTTACAGTGACCACATGGTTGTAATGTGTGTTATTAACTCTGTCTTCTAAAAGAATGTTATTTGTCTAACTTGGGTGCAATGCAACACATAAGGTTAGGAGCCAGGAAGATGTCTCTAGAGGGTAGGTCAAAGCACTTTAGTTAGATGCCTGAAATACATTTTGATAGGACAGTAGTTCTGATGGAGCCAAACACACAAGTATATACTTGGCTGCACATTTCCTGGCTATACGGCGCCTCAGGCAGTCCTGAGGCCGAATCTGCTCCCGGACTCTTCCTCGCTTGCTGGACTATTGTCCAGACTGGCTTCTGGGTTGACCTAGCTGGAATAAACAAGATGTTGAAAACTTCAGGTAGCTCCTATGTTTTAGGGTGCACTGCAGGGGATCTCTCTTTGCACTAGCTGGTGTCCTTCTGCAAAGCAGCCCATGATCCCATGCTGCATGGGCAAGTGAGATTTGGAGTGAATCTGCTCCCCATAAGGCCAGTGTGGACATGTAGAGCTGGGTCTTGGAAGTGCTCTAAGCTTGAGCTGCTTCTGGTCCAGACCTGCTCCAGTGAGTAATCATATCACCCATTTTCCAAAAGTTGGAGACATGCTGAAGAACTCACTTGGATGAAAATCTAGGCACAGTGCTGATCAATATACATGATACCAAGTGCTCCCAGATAATTCCCTTAGACTGAGCTTTTTCACTCACACAAGTGCTTTGTAAACACTGATTTCCAAAAGATTCCCAAGACATCCAAGTATATTTGGCTTTCCTGCAGATAACATTGTGCTGTGCAGTCTGTGGCTCATTTCTTTTGAGAAGAACTTGAAGCAGATATTGTTACACAAGGGCCTGTTTTTGTTTATATCCTGGCTCGTTCTCATTGCAAAATATTTCATTTCACAGGAATAATTTTAGGGCCCGGAAGCCGAATGCTGTTTATTGAAAGAGTAAAAGAGGAGGATGAAGGACTTTACCAGTGTATAGCCACCAACTTAAAAGGGTCCGTGGAGAGTGCAGCGTATGTCACCGTACAAGGTAAAGCATGACATTAAGAGGGAAGAGCAAGCTTGCCAGGGTGATGTTGCTACTCAGGCTGGAAGGGTGGGGGTATGACTTGGGGCTCATGCGATGATCTCTGAAGGCAGCAATTTGAAGGAAGTCCTAGCAAGGGAAGCATACCAGGTTGGAAAGGAAGCCCAGCAGGAAATGCTAACTCAGAGAATGTTTACACTGACCTAAAAAGAAGAATTGCTTCAACCCAACAAAGATCAGGTCAGGGTAGAAGACAAATGTAAATTTAGTATCGTCAAAACAAACAAAAAACAGAATAAGGAACACTCTCCTACCCACCCATTTTCCCATTTCAGGTTATTCCGTAGAAATTAGAGGCCTGGGATATTTTCATTTGTTTATTTTCAATGTAAAGTGAACTGCCAAATCAGACTAGAAGATTTTAGCCTAGTGATAGCTACACATGCAATTTTCAAAGATACTTGTGGTAAGAAGTAGGTATGATCTAGTTATTTCTGTAACCATTACTTGAGTTATTTAGCTATTCATATAAATGTCCAGCATTGTTCTGCCTTCTGCCAAGCTTGACTCAGGCCTCACTGCCAAGTGGCAGTGACTTCTGTGAAGTAATTTTACAATGCATAAAAATAAAGTTTATTCAGTGACTTTTCAGTTTCAGTGAATACCCTTTTGCTTCATATATTATGATATAAGAGAAGTGGGTTGACATTCTCCATATAAGTCAGTGCCATGTATGAATTGAATTTGACATAACCTATCTTATTGATCTCATGTGTTGAGTAAATAGTCCTAAATGCATTTAGTTTCTTTTTATAGAAGACAATTTGACTACCACCAGGTCCCTCAGGCAGGGATTATGTCTTTGTGAATGTTCTCATATAATTGCTAAATTTATCTGAATACTACTAAGTATTTGGGTACTGTCCTACAGCAGAAGACAGTTACAGCTAGTAAATCAGTATTGATTTTCTGCCATGAGTGTGTTAGCAGTCTCAGTTAATGGTGATCATTGATGATACAATGATGGTTTTGCTTTAAAAGGTCAGGGATAAGCATATGTACATATGGGCTGGCCTAACTAGTGTAATCAAGGAGTTAAAAACACCTTTCTCCTTATGAATAATGCTACGGTTTTTATGGCTGCTGTACTAGCTAAAAGAATAACTTGTGCCTAAGTGCTTGCCGTCCAATGCATCCTACTAATTGATAGTCCTGGACAATGTAATCCATTATTGTATTGATTTTTAACATCATTGTATCTTGGCTATTTATTACAACCACAAGCATTCTGTCAAATGGCTTCTAGGAAGTCATATCTCCTAGTCTGTGATCCAGAGGAGAGAAGAGAGAGCAGCCAGGAAGTCTTCTTCCCTGGCTACATGTCCTGAGGGACCAACGGCAATGTTCTTGTGTGACTCCTATGGGAGCTCTTAAATAAACAGATGAAGACTACTGTATTAAAATTTATAGCTTTGAGACTGGATAAGTAAAAGAGAGAGAGTTTGTCTTATGTACTATGATGAAGGAAAATATCTTTCCACCCTTTCTCTTCCTATTACATGAAGGGACGTCACTGTAGGTTTTATCACTCATTCCTGTGCTGATCTGGAGTGTCTGTCCCTCTCCCAGGGAACGGCAGCTTCTCACCCCATCCCTGAGCCTGGAGGGACAAGATCAGGGCTTAAACATGGGGCTCTCTCCAGGCTTCGCTACTTGCTTGTCTTTCTGAAGATACAGACCCTGTGACTGCTGCTGTGAGCACCGGAGCCTTCCCTCTGTCCCAAAAGCTCCTGGAGCACGAGGCTGCAGATCAAAGGGAGCAGAGCAATGCCTCGTGCCGATGGCCACGTTTAGCAGATTGGAAGAGTAGTTTGTGAATGAGTCAGGAAGGAAACTGTCTGCTCTCTTTATTTCCTCTGAAAAAAACGTTTTTATACTCACAGATAAAACAATGTGTTATTTTTGTATCCGAGATGGATGAATGGATGGTGGAATCCAAGGGCCGTCTTTAAATAATCACAGCCCATGTTTGGTTTGGAAGCTGTGCTTGCTGGGCTGTCTGAGGAGAAGAGGGGACACGTTTGTGGACATACCAGAGCAAGCTGTCCGCTTGCTCTTGGCTGAGGAACTGAAGAGGCAGCGAATCTGCAAGGACTGAACAGGAACAGCAAATGGCTGCCAGAGCACCCATTAGGTGGAGGGGAGTGTGTCCCTAAAAACCTGGGGACTCAAGCTGCTGGACATGAAGAGGGAACACGGGCTGTCTTGGGCAGCTCCCCTTTAGGGGGGACACCCAGCTGTACAGCATCTGTCCTGCTTGGAAAGTGGGCCACTTGTCATAAAAGCCTTAACCTGCTTCTCCTCATGGGGACCTTTGCACCCCCTCTCAGCAGGAGCCAGCGATACAGCTAGTTGCAGAGGCGCTGCACCATTTGAAGGAGGTGTGTTGAGAAAGGAAGGAGCATCTTTTACAGCCCATGTTTACTGAAGTCTGGATGTATAACAAACAAATGAGTACAGCGACACGCACTGTCTAAAGCTGATGCTTGATAACTCAACATGACCTGGTGTCGTGGTTTAGCCCTAGCCAGCAGCTGAGCACCACGCAGCCGCTCACGCCTCTTCCCCCTCCTGGTGGGATGAGGACGGGAATGGGAAGACAGAGGTAAAACTCATGGGTTGGGATAAGGACAGTTTACTGGGACAGCAAAGAGGAAAATAACAACAGTACTAAGAATATACAAAACAAGTGATACACAATGCAGTTTCTCACCCAACGACCTTGTACTTGGATCATCCCAGAGCCGTGCTGCCCCTCTCTGACTAGCCCCCTTTTATGCTGAGCATGACGT